TTTAGTTATATATATATATATATATATATATATATATATATATATATATATATCATGACCGATTTTTCCCATGTAAAATAAGTGGATCCGATGAAAAACAAACTTTTCTTTCCTTTCCTAGTAATTACGAAAGAATCGTGTTATAAAAATGAAGGAACACAATATGGCGAAAATTTTGTTAATTACAGTATGTCCAATTTCGTTTCTAAATGTTTGCGGATTTCCAAAAATGAAAGGAATGTGCATTAGTTCTTTTTATGCCTAAAAATTTTCTTACAAAAATAGTTTTTCTTTAGAAGAGGAAAATTGTTATGTAAAGAATTGAAAATGCCCCCTCTCTTTCCATAAACGAAAAATAAAAAAAAATAACACAGAAAACAAACAATCAGTACTCGAACAGCAGATCTCTGTTTGCTGTTCGAGTAATGAGCGTATGTCAAGATGTAAATTTCCATGTTGCTTTTTTAGTATTTTCTATATTTCTTAAAATCTTCGATGTATAATTTATCATTATTTTTTACCCACAAATTATACTGTTAATAATTGTATATTCAAGTGATTAATTCATTTCCAAAGACGACCTGCTTCTGCATTGAATTTATTTGATATCTATTTGTCCATTACTTTATTTAATCCTCAACATGTATCTTGATCTCATACTATTAGAGCGATAATCGAATGTAGAGGTTAGATAAACATGTTTTTTAATATGCAAATCTGATTCATGATGAGAAAGTGGTAAAACAGCAAAAAATTTCCGTTAACTTTTTCTTCCAGGAATGTATTTTTTAAATATTTAAGATCAAGCTGGGACGCAAACCAAAGATCATCAAGGAAGGTTTGATGACTTTTGTCTTAAATTGTATTTAAATTGAACTAATCATGAACTTTATGAATAAAACAAATTCCCTACCTTCCTTTCTTTTCCATTGGTAATTTTTAGCAACAGATTGAGAAAAATCAACATGTATCCGTCTATCATCAATCAGCACGTTATCCATTTTGAAGTAAGCATTCTCACAACTTTGAACCTGGCAATGCAAAAAATGAACAAGAAAAAAGAGCCAATTCATAAATTTTTAAAATTTTAAGTTTCCTAGTTCCATGTACCTTTCGCATTTAATTTTTGATCTATAATATAAAATCATATTTGAGTAACATCCAGAAATAAAATTGCCAATCTCCACTACATTCAATATCAGCGTTGTAAATATCAGTGTCTATTAAGTGCGCATCCACCTTCTCCGAAACAGAATGGCGGTAGAGGAAAATGAAAACTATTTGCTGGTAAAAAACTTGATTGCAGTAATGATATTGTGATGTTTTTCAGCTCAAATACTACTCGAAACTAAGCGACACTCAGCGGTTGTCAATGATACGAATAACTGAGCATTATTTGAAAGCTTGATCTTCTTGATTTTGACTTAATCCTACAAAAATCGTGCTGAACAACAACATCGATGTAAAGTTCCAAATCTCGGAAATCCGAACTGTATATTTTTCTCACCTCTTCAAATTCGACAAATGCATATTGCAATGAAGCACCCGTTTTCTTATCACGAATGATTTCACAACATGTTATTTTTCCAAATCGAGAAAAAATAATTTCGAGATCCTAAAAACAAAGAAAAAACGATTGAACACCGGAAATAATCGTAGAAGAATGTTCATATAGTCAGTACTTACCTCATCTGTGGTAACTGGATTCAACTTGCATACGAACAAAACATTATCAGGTGGTTTCTCTTCTGCATAATGCAAATCGCCCACCTAAATTAAAAAATTTAGCATTTGAAAAACATCTGAATTAAAAGACCGAAATTTACTAATCAACTTGGTAAAAAGATTGTTTTGAAACTTGAATATTAATAGCCATGTATGATCATTCCATGTAAGATTACCTGAGATGGTTCAAAAATCTCAGCAGCTAAAGCTGCTATATCTTTAATCTTCTCACTCAACCATTGGTCAAATATTCGGTGACTGATTGAGATATATCTATTCTTCAGCCAGATAAAATTTAATTGAACTACACGGAATGAAAACTTGTAAAACAACGGGCAAAAACCGACAACAGAAACATACCATTTCCAGAATTTGCGCCTGAGCAGCCATATCTTTGGTTTCAATTTCTTTCTGTATTTCTTCTTCTGTTTTACCTTCTTCCTCATTCAGTAACTGATCCAAAGTAATCTGAGAAACCTGTAATTCAGAATGTACATAGAATTATCAAAAATCCTTCATTTACTTAGTGTAACGCATCTTCTGGTATTTACACGATCTTATATAAGCGTGACTCCAATGCAACTTTTCAACAAACTTCCCAACAAACTTTTCAACTTTTCAACAAAACTTGTGATATCCATTTCTTAATTTGCCACTGCTTTCTTAGGCTACCAGTGGTTGTTTATAAAAATACAGTGAGCGAAAGATATGATGCATTTAAAATACTTAGTTCTTCAAAATTAAAAAAAATTGAAAGGAATAAGTAAAACAGAAAAATTTATTAGAAAAAAAACTAACATTTAAAAGGTCAATTGTCGGTGATGGTGATCTGCTTGGAAAGTGAAGTTGTTTAGGATCATCAAAAGGATCATCTAGTATAACAGTATGAGCTATGCTGCAACAAAATATTCTAGGAATTTGGGCAAATGTTAAAAAATTTAGGAGAAAAATATATAAGTAACAGTTTCTAACAGCAGAAAATAAAACACTCATGAAATTGATGGAAACCAAAAAAACAGGTCAACTCACCGTATATCTCGGAACGGTCTATTTTGCTCATCACAAATCTCTTGATTTAACTTTTCTAATGTATCTAGTCCTTCGGTTACTTGTCCAAAAATAGTATGCTTGTCATCCAAATAATCTAAATTGTCACCTAAAATGAGCAAATTATCCATCGACAGAATTAAATACCAAAATCGTAAACTCAACAGTTATTTATTACGGCTATGAAAACTGTTCTCCGGTATTAATAAAACTTGCAAACCTAAAGTGATGAAAAATTGACTGCCAAGCATGTTAGAACCATTATTTACCATTGATACGATACCAATTCTGGTATGGCGTAACTTAGGGACAAGTTCTGGTTCGAAATAGCGCGCTTGCTCACCATATAAACAACTGAAAATGAATGTTATGGGTTGCAGCAAAAATAAAAATTTAAAAAGATGGAGTAATACCGAAACATACGCAAATATCGATTCTCCACCATTGCCTGTAGCAGTTGGGTCTCCTGTTTGAACGATGTAGTTTTGCTATAAAGCACAAAAATAAGATAATCGAGCTAACTAAATTTTAAACAATGAATTTATAAAATATATCCTAAAAAGCAATTATTGATACCAAAATTGAAACCTTGCATGAAACCACCGAACTGCTCATAAACTGATCGACCACGCAATGATCAATAGAAATTAGAGTGAAAATTCGAAAAAAAAAGAAATAACAAAGATTGTGTGGAATATATTCGACTGGCAAAAAAAGGGAAAAAAAACAAGTGAGGAAAGAAGTTATACGCGTATGAAAATACCTCGATCGCATGAAACTGGCAAAAATTGTAATATTTCAGTTTACACAATTTCAGAAAATTTAGACAACCTGAAAAACGGACAAAATTGTATTTATAATAATTTTTTCGTAAAAAATGTATAATGTAACTGGTTTTCTTCGTGGTAATTCGCATACACGCATTCTTAACTAAATTAACTGAGCAAAAGTAACGACAGCATTTATTTGAACTGATGAATATCAAGAATAAGTTGCAGATTCATGCATAACCAGAAATACCAAATTTATTAGAGGCTATACAGGACCGAGAATTACAACAATGCCATCTATCTAAAATATCAGCTAATCGCATCGCTTTCCTGAACAACATGGGTAGCAATAATGTCCTACCAAAGATCATGATTCCTGCTATTTAATCAACCACTTCAATCCAATTGTTATGTTGCGATTTAAATTAGACTGGACTTTTCCATTTATCTTATAAAAACATTTCTAGGCTCTATTCACAGATTATATTTCAATCGAACGGACAAAACTTACATCTCGGGCGTTCTTTCACGAATAAATCGATGACAATATCACCAACCGTCGTCTCGACCAATACTGCCATATATTATGAAAGCATATAGAAAATTTAACACACAACCAGCAATTAACTGTTTGGAAATTAAGCTGAAATAAATACAAAATATTTCTCTCTCAATTATCAAGAAATAGCGGAATTTCTCTTAATTAGAATATATTAGAAAGTACAAAATAATTTCGGAACAATCAGGAGTCTAAAAACCACTAGTCATTCTTCTTCAATTCATATAATGTAATATTTCATAAAAATGGAAATTTGGATTTCTGTAAAATTGAGAATAACAATTTCAGTCGATATGCAAACGGAAAAGATGTTCAAGCATTTATAGCAATAATACCAATACTGCATAGAAAGCAGTTAATTGTTAGTCTAGAGCTTTCTTTAGAAGGAAGAAAAAACTTTATACAAATGAAAAACTCAACATGAGATTTACAAATTTCATGGAATAATCAAACAGTGTATTAAGAACAGCACTATAAAAAAAGCATTTCTTTCCTAAGTGCACTGATAATTTCTTCAGACCAATCTTCACGAATTTCATCCCATGTTATTTCCACATGCTTTGGATTATCCATTACTGATGCCAACGTGACCTCACCATTAAACATTTCTATACCATCCTTAAAAGAGCTTTTCTTGTGAATTCTCAAATAAAAATTTGACATTTCCAAGAAGATAAAAGTATACGAAAACCACTCACCTCTTTGACCTGTAAATTAGGGTCGTACACTTTTAATTTAGCAGCAAAACAATTCCAATTTATGTGATCAACTTCTATAGTTTCACTAAAGGCAATAGTATGCAAGGATGTGCCCAACTGCCGCGCTGCTGCTTCTGGTGTTATAACTTCCAGCTGATTAGTCTTGAAAACAAAATAAATTAAAATATGCATATAAAGCAAATGGAAACAACTAAGGATGTTTCATTTAAGAGCTAAAAAAAAACTTTCTAATTTTCAGTCGAATTTTGGGGAAAAAAAAACCTGTTTATCCATAGTCAAAAAAGCACGGAAAGGGCAAAAGCGCTTGCTCGGTGTCGGATCCAAACTAATACACCGATCTAATATTTGCACGGGAACATTCAGGCTCACATTTAAAGGACTTTCAATAGTAATTGTTTCACCGTTTGCCGGTTTGAATACCTTTAAGTTAAATTCCTGAAAAAGAAAAAAAACAGTGTTATAGAGGCATAAAGCCGGGTATCTAATAATATTAAAGTGATTTACTGATATTAAAATGACTTCTTGAAATCTAACCTTCTCCACCTTTTCTTTCAAGAATTCCATTTTCGCATCTTCACCATGCACAAACATAACATTTTTTGGTTGACAATCACGGATAAGCTAAAACAAATGACTTTGCCTGAGAAAATATAACATATACAGAAAACACAGTAAACAAGATACAGAAAATACAGAAGATATAGAAAAAATAACAAACGATTTCCTACTCGAATGCGAATGTGTCCAAGACTAACTGAAAGCTCTACACATTTGGAAAATGATACGATTCTATGGTTAATTTCGAAAAAAACTAACGGTTTACCTGCATTATGCCTTTCGCATCAGCATGCGCGCTGAATGACATATATTCTACTCCCAAATTAATTTCCCTCTGGAACAAGATGAAATTAACTATTGAAACAATAAATATTTAGGAAAGTCATGCAAAATTACAAATTTTCAACCAGTGAAATAAAAGTATAAACTAATATAAATCAATTGCCATTCTTCCAGCGATTTCAATTTTTTTCATTCCTGAAATCACTTTCGCTCCAACCGTATTAGCAACACAAAAGCCAGGCATGATGATTAAATTTTTCTCGTCCGAACACCATTTTGTGAAAACTCGCAAAGACTGTCCACCGTGCAACATACCTGTAATAAGGGATAGAAATTTCGATAAAATTCGAGGACAGTAATAAAAATTTGAGGAAATTTTCTGATAAAAGTATTACTAAACTTAGACTGCCATTGCCCAAACTCCATATCTCCTTTTGATCTTTTAATCGCCGTTTTTAGTTTTTTCTCATCAAATATACTAATTTTCACCCGTCAAGAAAACCGTCCTGATATTCTGACAACGAACAGATCAATACACACACATACCTGGCGTGCTGAAAAGTACCATTGGACCAGGACTGTCGGTATAAGATTGCTCGAAAGGCCTAATATGCTTGAAATCAAACATATTTCGTTCAACAAATGTCCTCTTGATCTTTTCATTTGTCCAACTGATGAATAATCGGTAGTACTGAAAGAGAGAGAGACAAAAATCTGAGCAAACAAATTCCATCTCCTTTTATCCAAAGCATTACTACGTCGAAATTCAATGGTGTATTACGACCGTTGGCACAAATAAAGTACTCCAAATTAAGTCCTGAACTTGATATGCTATTAGTGCAACAAATTATAATGAATTCTTGGCCAATGAAGCTCGTATTATAAAAAATACATACCTGGTTAGCTTTTTCTGCCAATCCTTGTGAGAAAAATATTGGATACTTCAGATTCATCCTTTCCCAGTATGATTCCAGCAAAATGCACAATTCTTGCGCACGTCCAAGAGCAAAAACCGGGATCAAAACCTTAAGCTTAGTCCGTTATACATATAGTTTGTATCAAAAATAAAGCAATAAAATTAAATTAATACCTCATCATTAACAACAAACACAGAAAAAACAAAAAAAAAGGACCTTCCCACCATTCGACACAGTGTCGTGAACTTTTTTTAAAAAATCTCGTTCGCGAGCACGTTTTGAATCTCTTATGGTCGTCGCATAAGTACTTTCCGATATTAATAAGTCAGGTTTGAGACCAGGTTCAACACGTGCAGCGCCTAGATGTCGATCCGGTGTTGTATTAAAATCTCCTACAAAAAGTGAACACAATCGTTTAATTTTGAAAACAACAGTTTCAAAAAAAAGAAAAAATATGATTAGTAACTACCGAAATAATGAGTGAAAAACGTCAAAATATGTGTTAAATGGTATTTTAGGCTGAATTAGTGTTACAAGTTTCTTTTCAATTACCCTATCCGAATTCATACCTGTGTACAAAACGCTTTCAGAGCCAACCATAATTTGAAACATCGCAGCACCAAGTACATGGCCCGCATAAAAAGCTCGTATTGATAATTCGTTATCGATATCGATTTTTTCATGAATATTTATTGCGATTACCTGCAAAAACAAAATTGAGCATTGTTCCAAAAAAGCTTTGAACGAAACTTGGAACTGAATTTAACCTTTTTCATGCAGTTTTTGATCATTTGTGAAGTGAAAAAATTCTTATCCCCCTTAAATTCAGTCTGAATTTTGCGATAATCCTCCTGAAATTACCACAAAATATGTTCTATATGTAAGGTAATAAATCAAATGAACAACTTAATAATTAAATCAGAACAATCGTCCAACACCCTCTCCTCTCTATTGTGACCAGTTGATCGGTGTTAAAATGATAGGGAAAGTTTTTGAAAAAGTTGGGTAGAATTTTGAAACTAGCAACCGAGAAACAGCATTAACTGCGAGACAAACAAACAACAACCAAGTTTTATGATAAAACTTTAGAAAAGAAAAAATCTGAACATTGACCAGTAACAACTATTACCAACAATACAGGTGCAATGGCTTTGGTTGGATACGTCATATAAATTGGCCCATCATATCCAATAACTTCGCTCATATGAGGAAGCGAACCACAGTGATCCAGATGAAAGTGAGTTATGATGACACAATCAAGGAATTCTGTTAAAGATCCACCACCACTAATAAAGCTAAAACAATATGTATATATGTGTATATCATTTAGAATCAAATATTTGATATTGTTTCAGTGCCGAATAAACTACCAAACAGACCAAATATCTGGTGTGTTCGAAAGATCTGCTCCGTTTAAAAATCAAAGTTAGTTGAGGTTCCAAAAGTCATGTTATAAAAAAAGAATAAAAGTCGACATGTGCAAAGTCTCTAAAATAAACTTAGTAAACTAACGAAAAATCAGGAAACCGTCGCTCATCGGAATAACCCATATGCATACCACAGTCAAGCATCACATTCTTGCCACCAATGGATACCAAAATACAGCTTCTACCAACGTCTCGCCCAGCACCAAGTGGAACTATCTTCAATGAATCTAGCCAGAACTTAGAACCTGTTACTGCGCCTAATCTGCGCTTCGAACATGTAAAAGAATTTTTTAACTAAGTTTTTAAGACTTTAAATCATCTTCAAACTGGTTTAGATTAGAAGAGATCAAATACTGACACAAACAGGTTCAAGAATGGACAAAATGATATAACATTTAGCCAGTAAGAGGAGACATATAGTCTCAAGAAGAGATAAATAATTTAGATGGAAAAGAACATTTAAAAAGTAAAATGGAAAGTGGATCAGCGGTGAGTTACTGCAGCTTACCTTAATTTCAGGCATTGCTATTATGCAGACATTAATTCCCCACGAACTGGAACATTCCCGTAATAGAGCATGATGAGGCAAGCTAGAACAATTCCTGTTAATAATTTTTCCGGTGATTATCAAGTTTATCACAATCGATTATTTTATTCACATTGTCATCCTCGATTTGTTTTAAATGAAATGCAACACAGAGCTACTCTTCAAATCATGTAAGATTCATGGATACGATGAGACGTCAACGATCGATAACGGAAGATAACCGGAATATACGGGGAACATTCATTGGCAAATGAATTCCCAACCATTGCTTCATTAATCAATGAATACATATTCAGTTGACTCTTATGGTTCGCATCGATTTCTGCCATCTCTTTAGCAACAGTACGCTTTTCACGCGTTCTCAATCACTGCTACTACTCTAAAGCATGACTATTCGGACATTTTTGCAATTCTTAATACCTTGCTATCTCATTCATTCTGTTACCTTCTGCATACTCTCGAACTTTCTAGTTACTTCCATAGTTTTCCTTCCGCTATGTCGACATGGCACCTTAACTCACTCTACACAAACATTTCCGAAAGCATTTCTTCGAGATAACCCGAGAGTAGTTAAATTCCAAACGGGACGATGCATTCCCATTGGATGCAACGGACTATGAGACAAAGATACAGGTGAGAAAGGTACAGAGCCAGATGTCTGTGGGCAATTGGGGGTACTCTCTGGGATGTTCATTCGTTAGATAGCATGATATGATGTCACTATCACTATGCCTCCATTCAAATCATTACCCTCTCAGGCCATTTCCATTTGGGCCACTTTTACAGTTAGGTTGTTATTATTCAGATGGTCATCACATAGAGGTTGCTTACCTTAGCAGAAGGTTTTCACTTCAGAAAATCTTCGTGATGTTGTTTATAAAGTTCTGAAGTAGGCGTTCATGGAACCACGTAGTTGACAAGGTTGATTAAGCATATCAGAAGCTGCGATGGTCGAGAAGAATGTAACGGTGTGAAACAAGTTTTTGCAGAAATTTCAGATCACCAGCGAATTTCTTGCAGTTCGATTTCTTGCACTAAAAACTTAATCCGATGCAGAACAAAACCTGGAGGAAATACAGTACTTTATTTGATATAAAACATATAAAAGTACGCATATGTACATCTTGAGAAAACAAAAATTTTCAAAGATAAATAAATGTAAAATGGAAAACTTTAAAGTAGGACGAACACTGTGGATAGAGCGGAAGAAACAATCGATATGCTATTTTTATGAACTCTGCACCATTATTGAAAGGACAGATCGGATTCAATTAGGAGTAGAGAATATAAAATGAGAATGAAACTTTCAATTTAAACTATATTCTTTATATAAGCGAACTTAAGAGAAAGGTAAAAGTCATGAAAATTAAGTCCTAGGCAAAATTTCCAAAACTGAATCTAATATTTTCCTATGGAGACACTTGAAGATTCATTTTTTTTTAGTTACATTTGATGAGCGGTGACGCTAAGATTGTGAAATGTACTAGGTGTGATACAACCGATCATCTTTCTACAGTTCGATAACGCAGGATTCAATCATGTCATCACAGAAACAATCTTTATCACTGGAAAGATTTTGCTGATTAATTTGACAAACTTCATGAATAGCGGCATTTAACCGATCAATCGAACGATGTGCAGGAAGTTTATAAATTACAGATTGATAGATGTAATTTTTGACATGACTTTTGTTTTTCAATTTTTGTTGCAATTATATGCAAATTTATGTATCAATTTATATATTATACGTGAATTTAAAGAATAGAAATTTCTAAAACTATTGAATAAATACAGATCTCTTTTTCCAGCTATCTGTTCAAATACTATTATTTCTAAAATAAAAGCATTTGAAATGGCAGGATTGCAGAAAATAAAATTAAAATATGACTAATTAAAATTCCGATTTGATGTACTTTCGGGTAATGGTAATAAGACTGAATAAGCTTACGTCCAACTTCCGCCAGATTTCAGATCACACCATGCTTTTGATTCATGGAACTCAGAGCGATATGTGTGCAATTGACATCATTTCGATCTAAAAATGTTTTGAAAACATATCAAGGAAGTAACTGTTACACTGAGAAAGTTTTATAGTGATGAAAAACCAATAAATTGTCTATGTTTAAACATTATGAACACCTGAATTTTGGATAAATAATCCATCTTTATTCTAAAATAAGGTGGTTGTAAGTTAAACTAAAGCTTTCTAGATGCTACCCAGTTACTTTCACAACAATCCATACCCCACCAGTTTTTCCATAGATAGCGCTACTACACTTTGCCTCACCTTGGGTATCGGTCAATAGTTGAACTGTTGCAGATAACGTGGATGACGGTTCTTCTAATGTGGATTTCTGAGCTAGTACAGCTATAACGTCTTCTGTAATGTCATAATCTATGAATGCCGTTGTCTCAGATACATTCAGCGATGGAGCAATATTCCAGGGTATTGTAGTGAAGTTAGATTCCTGTCTAGCTGTTGGTAGCGTAGTGCTATCATCAAGATTTTCTAAGCTTTCGAGATTCCTTTCTAAACGTTTTGAACTTTCGTGGACAGATACCAATTTCGATGGCTCGGTACCGTTCATTTCTTCAATAACTGATGTGATTTCACAACTGGTATTTACAACTGTTATTGTCATTGATAAATTGGTCAATTCAGTTTCTGTAAATTCTTCCGCATGTTCCGTAACCATAACCTGAAATTGGTGAAGGCACTTCTTAAATTCAACAAAAACATCAAAATTAATGTCGAGTTTACACGTAAGAAGTTTTGAGACGCTGAAACTTTCACTACCCATTTTTATGTCTATTTATATGTCATTTTGTCCGTCTAACTTACGTTTTTTTGCACCGGTACATTATCCGTAATCGTAAATTGAGAAATCCGACTAAAAGAACTGTTTTTTGTAGGAACCTGAAACTATTCCGTTTCTTGTTAGAAGTAGTAATAATGCGGGAATGGTACATGAAGAAAGATAAAAGCTTACGTCACTTGTGATCAATGGCAATGTTGAAATTAATGTAATATGAAGTATCACGAGTAGAGAGGAATACTGTATTTGATTCATCCTTTATGAAATATCGGAATCACTCCACTTGTAAGCAGCAACGATCTATAATAGCATAAAGGATTAACATTGTCAGACAAGAAGGATTGATTTGGGATAGGTAAGTATCGGATGAAAGTAGGAGAATGAACGCAATATTAAATGATACAATCGAAAAGTATTCGCGCAAACAGAAAGGTATCATAGTTATGATCCACTAAGTGAGATTAATTGGGCATGATATACATTAAAAAATTTTATTGCTTAATATGAATTTGAATTTGAGATTTGACTTACTTCTTGGAATAGACAGTTGCTAAGTAGAGATCATGAAGATGAGCATGAAGGATGTGAGTCTACGGCAAATATGATTAAATAATAATCGATCATCCGCTCTGATCGGATATCATTCTAACTCTTTGAATGTTAACAAAAAAGTTTGAGCAAAATAACTTCTGATTTTCTTTGAAATTTAAAGTCGAAAAATAATATTTTTAGAAATTTCAAAATTCAACATTTCTGCTTGTGTCTTCTAATTTTTCAAGAAATTGAATATTTAATGCAAATTAGTTGTTTGCTATTTTTTCGTTTTTTAATTTTTGTTATAATGAGGGTAAGATTTCAATTCTGATAGGCAATGACAATGCTGAAGTTTTTTGTACATATAGGTCTTATCAGTGTTTTATCAGTGTTAAGTGATAACGTTGACCATATGTATAAGCAAACGATATGAGCAAATGCTTTAATTTTGCTTAAACCAAAAAAAAATTTTCAAGAATCGTTCCATCAATGCAAAAAATGGTAGTAAATTGTTGTCGGTGCTGCACATTGTTCCGGTTCTTCCTGATTACCGGAATTATTTCCATCATTTTTTCGATTCTCTTATGGGCCATATTCTTTCCGTTACTCAATGCTATTTTAATTTCAGTAAGTTTGTTTCTCATCCAATAAACAAAAGAGAAAGCAGAAAAAAAAAAGGAAAGCTTTAACTAATAATAAAGTAACCAGTATATGATATCAAGTAATCTAGTGGATAGTATAAATTTAAGTAATATAGAGTAATCTAGTGGATAATATAAATAATCTAAGTAGTATAGAGTAATCTAGTAGATAATATAAAGTAATATAGAGTAATCTAATGGATAATATAATCTAAGTAATATAAAGTAATCTAGTGGATAATATAATCTAAGTAATATAGAGTAATCTAGTGGATAATATAAACTAATCTAAGTAGTATAGAGTAATCTAGTGGATAATATAATCTAAGTAATATAGAGTAATCTAGTGGATAATATAAACTAATCTAAGTAGTATAGAGTAATCTAGTGGATAATATAATCTAAGTAATATAGAGTAATCTAGTGGATAATATAATCTAAGTAGTATAATCTAGTGGATAATTTAATTGACTGAACGAAACGAAAGTGGCATTTTTAAACAGTTAATAAAAATGATGCAAGAGAAAGACTCGACGAAGT